AAGTCCTTCATGGGCGATGGCCATGGTGGGATAGACAAGGTTGCTTCTTCGTGGACCCTTCTTGGGTGGAGCCCTCCGTGGACTCGCGCAACCGTACCTTCGTGGGTTGAAGTCTCCATCAACGTGGATGTACGATAGCACCACCTATCAGAACCACGACAAAAACATCCGTGTCTCCAATTGCGTTTGAATTCTCCAAACCCTACCCTTTACATTCTTGCAAGTTGCATGCTTTAATTTCCGCTGCTCATATACTCTTTGCATGCTTGCTTGAATTGTGTGTAGATTACTTGACTTGTGCTAAGATAGCTAAAATCTGTCAAAGACTAAAATTGGGAAAAGGTTAAGTTTTTAATTGGTCAAGTAGTCTAATCACCTCCCCTCTAGACATACTTCAAGGTCCTACACTTGGCTGCCCCTCCTCTTCTCCAATAAGGCCCATATGGCCCATTATACTCCCCGGGGGGTTCCGGTAACCCCCCGGTACTCCGATATATGCCCGAACTTGCCCGGAACACTTTCAAAGTCCAAACATAGTCATCCAATATATCAATCTTTATGTCTCGACCATTTTGAAACTCCTCGTCATGTCCGTGATCATATCCGGGACTCCGAACTACCTTCGGTACATCAAAATACATAAACTCATAATACCAATCGTCACCGAACGTTAAGCGTGCGGACCCTACGGGTTTGAGAACTATGTAGACATGACCAAGACACGTCTCCGGTCAATAACCAATAGCGGAACCTGGATGCTCATATTGGCTCCTACATATTCTACGAAGATCTTTATCGGTCAAACCGCATAACAACATACGTTATCGTTGTTCCCTTTGTCATCGGTATGTTACTTGTCCGAGATTCGATTGTCGGTATCTCAATACCTAGCTCAATATCTTTATCGGCAAGTCTCTTTACTCGTTCTATAATGTGTCATCCCGCAACTAACTCATTAGTCACATTGCTTGCAAGGCTTATAGTGATGTGCATTACCGAGAGGGCCAGAGATACCTCTCCGACAATCGGAGTGAAAAATCCTAATCTTGATCTGTGCCAACTCAACAAGTACCATCGGAGACACCTGTAGAGCACCTCTATAATCACCCAGTTACGTTGTGATGTTTGGTAGCACACAAAGTGTTCCTCCGGTATTCGGGAGTTGCATAATCTCATAGTCATAGGAACATGTATAAGTCATGAAGAAAGCAATAGCAACATACTAAACGATCAAGTGCTAAGCTAACGAAATGGGTCAAGTCAATCACATCATTCTCTAATGATGTGATCCCGTTAATCAAATGATAACTCATGTCTATGGCTAGGAAACTTAACCATCTTTGATTCAACGAGCTAGTCAAGTAGAGGCATACTAGTGACACTATTTGTCTATGTATTCACACATGTATTATGTTTCCGGTTAATACAATTCTAGCATGAATAACAAACATTTATAATGAAATAAGAAAATAAACAATAACTTTATTATTGCCTCTAGGGCATATTTCCTTCGGTAATCTCCACAAAGGGTATAAGTGTCTAGAAATTGCCACTGGATGCATTTATATTTCTAGAGATGTTGTCTTTGCTGAAATTCTTTTTCCGTTTGCCAAACTTCATCCCAATGTAGGGGGCCTTCTCCGTGCTGAAATAGCACTCCTTCCAGATCATGGTGGTGAATTACATAAAACTAATCATGTGGAAAATTCCATAGAAAATTGTGGTTCCGATGATATTTGTGCAGATTTGGGTCGTCATTTTATGTGTACAGATCTGGACAAAGCGGGCACAGGTTCTGAGGCTTATTCGCCTGGCAGCGGCGCGCGATCCAATACTGATTCCCGCGCCATCCCTACTGTCTCCATCGTTGAGCGATCCTAGGCGGGTCGCCATCCTCTGCATGCAGCCAACTGCATGCGCGTAGAGCCAACCAGCCCAGCCGCGGGGGTGGCCGACAGCCCACGTGTGGTGGACCCCGCCAGCCCAAGCGGGAGCACGTCGCCACATGGGGTGGACCTCGTCAGCCTAGGGGAGGGAGGGAGCGCGTCGCTGAGTCGCGCCATAGGCCCATGGATCGAGCCAGCCGCCGACAGAGAGGTGTCAGGGGGGGTCTTCCTCGGGTCGAGCGCCTGGATCGCCTGCACATCGATCTCCCTCGGATCGGGAGTTGGGATTTTCTGCGCCAAATCACACGGAGTCCTCTGAGACGGGATCTTCTGCGCCTACAACACCAACCTCTTCGCCAACACACTAGATCACAGTCAGGTATTGTCAAAGGGAAAGAATACACTGATGGTACGATAAGGTATGACAGAATCAAATGTGCCTTTCTTAGCAATGTTGGCGAACCAACTCACTTGCATGCTCTTGCTCATAGGGATTGGAAAAAGGCTATGGATAATGAATATGATGCACTCATGAAAAATAAAACTTGGCATTTAGTACCACCAAGGAAGGGTAGTAATGTAATAGACTGCAAGTGGGTATACAAAGTAAAGAGAAAATCTGATGGAAGTATAGACAGATATAAGGCTAGGCTAGTTGCAAAGGGTTTCAAACAGAGGTTTGGTATTGACTATGAGGATACATTCAACCCTGTTGTTAAGTGAGCCACTATTCAACTTGTATTGTCTATTGCTATTTCTAGAGGATGGAGTTTACGACGGCTAGATGTTCAAAACGCGTTTCTTCATGGTGTTCTTGAGGAAGAAGTGTTCATGCGACAGCCACCAGGTAATGAGGATCAAAGCACACCACATTATGTTTGTAAGTTGGATAAAGCTCTGTATGGTTTGAAACAGGCCCCAAGAGCTTGGTACTCAAGGTTGAGCATGCAGTTACAACAACTTGGGTTTACACCATCTAAAGCAGATACCTCGTTGTTCTTCTACAATAAAGATAGTATCACTATATTTGTCCTTGTTTATGTTGATGATATAATTGTTGCTAGCTCAAGTTCAGGTGCTACCACTTGTTTTCTTAAGGATCTAAAGTTGGAGTTTGCTCTCAAGGACTTGGGTAATCTTCACTATTTTCTTGGCATAGAGGTCAAACAAGTGAAGGATGGTATACTTCTCACACAGGAAAAATACACCACTGACATACTCAGGAGAGTAGGACAGGAAAATTGTAAACCTGTGAGTACACCAATGTCAACCTCAGAACAACTTACAATTAAGAGTGGAGAAGCACTTCGACCTGAAGATGCAACAAATTACAGAAGTGTTGTAGGTGCTTTACAATATTTGACTCTTACACGTCCTGATATTTCCTATTCTATGAATAAGGTATGTCAATATTTACATGCACCTGGGACAACTCGTTGGACTGCAGTCAAGAGAATTTGAGGTATCTTAAATATTCAGAAGGACTTGGAATTCAGATCACCAAGTCTTTGTCCATGCTTATCACTGCATATTCTGATGCAGATTGGGCAGGGTGTGCTGATGATAGAAGATCCACAAGTGGCTTTGCTGTGTTTCTGGGTACAAATCTTGTGTCATGGAGTGCAAGAAAACAGACCACTATCTCAAGATCCAATACAGAAGCTGAATATAAAGCTCTAGCAAATGCTACTGCTGAGGTAATGTGGATACACACATTACTCTATGATCTTGGAATTAAGGCTCCTCAGGCTGCGAGGTTATGGTGTGATAATATTGGTGCAACCTATCTCTCAGCTAATCATGTTTTTCATGCACGCACAAAACATATCGAAGTTGATTTCCACTTTGTCAAAGAAAGAGTAGCTCGCAAGCTACTTGATATTCGTTTTATACCAACTGGAGATCAACTTGCCGATGGCTTCACAAAACCTCTCACTACAAGGAGGTTGGATGAATTTAAGTACAATCTTAACCTTAGCAAAGTGCATACGGTTCAGATTGAGGGGGGTGTTAGAATAAGTTGTATAGGGGTAGAAGACTAGTTTGAATTGTAATCTATCTTATATCCCTTCTTCTGTTATTCTCCCTATAACGATGAAATCAATCTCTCTCTCTCTCTCTCTCTCTCTCTCTCTCTCTCTCTCAACTTCCTTGTAAGCCAAGGCAAACCCTCAATATATACAATGCGGCCCAGACGAAGGGTTCTACGCTTCCCACATAATCTTACAGAGGCCACGAAGTATTGGGGGCGCGTGAGTAGGCAAGGCAAGCGTTGCGGGAGTACACACCCGGCCGCCACACCAACACTCCTGTTGCATCCAAAGATGACGAAGCTGCCGATGCTAGTCAACACCGATGGTGGAGCAGAGGCATGCTGTAGAGGACGAACGGCGGTGGGTGACGCAAGCCAATTATAGGTTGGAAAACCAAAAAGAAACGCCGATCAAAGAAACCGACGAGAGGGAGAAAAACCAGGAGCAAGGGCTCGGAAAAAAGACTCTCTAGGTAGCCGGCCAACATGACCGACGAATGAACCCTAGGTACGGGTGGCGCGGCCCCCGGCGGCGGTCATGGAGGCCGACCGCCCCAAGGGCGGCGCGGAGCGGAAGCGGCGGGCGACGGCTAGGGTTTGGATCGGTTAGGCTGATACCATGTTAGAAAGGAGCGAGAGGGTTTGGTGAAATCGTTGTTGTATTGCCTAAGGCTCAAACCCTACGTCTCTTTTATGTGATATGATGAACAATTAGCAGAGACGTCTCTTTGAAAAAGCTTCTACTCTCATCTGTCATTTATGTATATGTACATGTAAGATCGATCCTGATTATTTTTGGATCAACGTTTATACCACTTTGTCATATGGAAATATATGAGACATTAATTTCTTGTGAAAAATATTACAAAGATGTCCTAGATTCCATAAAAGAATTTTGTTCCATCCATGTGATTGTGATGTTCCTGAAACGTATGATCACTTGTCTATTGCCCTTATCCTACAGCACTATAATTGTACAGCTCCAACGAAACCGTATCATCAGACCTGACCCCCGCGTCGCCTCTCTCTGGCGACACGGGGGGAATCCCTCCGGCGCCGCCACCACCTCACCCCTCCTCCTCCTAACCTCGTCGCCGCCTGAGGAGCTCTTCGGCGAAGCCCGGGCAGGCTCCAGGGAAGGTGGCGGCGGGGCATCTCTCGGGGGGTCTCGCCGGAGGATCTGGCGAGCAGGCGCTCCGCGCGGGCATGGTTCTGGTGCTTGCAGGCGCGGAGGAGGGCGGCACAAGGGCGGGCTCGCGGCGGCTGCAGGCAGCGCGCTTGCAGGAGGGCGGTGAGGCGTGGATCTGGCGCGAGTGGGCGTGCACGGCGGCGTCCGTGCGGCGAGGCTGTGCGGGCAGGGGTCCCAACGGCTGAAGGGGTGGCGAGGCGTGCGAGCGCGCAGGCTTGGCGCGGGCCGCGATTCGGCCATGAGGGGCGCTGTGGCTGCGGGTGCCGCACGGATCTGGCGTCGCGTGGGTGCCAGGGTGGTGCTCCTGCCGTTCTGGTGTGGAGCTCGCTACGGGTGCGGAGAGGCCTGGGTTGCGTTGTCGGCGCGGCTCAGGGCCCGTGGCGACTCGGAGGAGCTGATTCAAGGTGCGGGTTTGGTCAATCTGGTCTCCGGCGGCCGCGGCGGCGCGTGTGGTGCGTGTGTCGTGCGTCTGTTGCTTGGCTGCGGCCGACAACCATGGTGGTTGGCGGTCTTTGGCACTGCACCCCATTCCTTGCCGGCATGGTGCTCGGCAGGGTGTGGCGTTCCGTTGCATCCGGTGGATTTGCTCTCGGTGGCCATTATTTGATCTGCCAACTGGCTCTTGAGTCCGGTTGTCGGTGGCTTCCGCGAGGTGCGGTTGGCTACAGAGGCGGCCCCTTCATCGACGGGCTGGTGTGGTGGTGATGGTTGGTAGGCTTGCCGGCGTCGGTGCGGGATGTTGTGCGACGAGGTGGTGTGAGAGCTTGGGTGAAGACCCTGTCTCGGCCTTGTGCTGTGACCAGCGATGGCGGCGGCTGTGGCCGTCGTGACCTTCTTGGAGGCATAGTTGATTTGTTGTCGCACCCCTCCGCACGGATCCGGCCATTTCGGCCTCTCCAAGGGAAACCCTTGATCTTATGATCGGACGATGGCGGCGCCTTGGTGTCGTTCTACCTTCTTGGGGGCTTCGTTTCGGAGCTCGGCATCTGCAAGCGGGACTAGTGGTTGACGGCGGTTGTGGCGTCCAGGTTTCTGTGGCAACTATGATGGTGGGAGCGATGTCGGCGACGTGGCAATGGTTGAAGTAGTCGGCTCTTCTCCGGCGTGTCCGCGTGTTTGCCTCGGTTTGTTTTGCTGTTGTGAAGTCGAAGCTGTAGCGGCGGGGCCCTGTGGTATACGATGACTGACTGCAGGCGAACCCTTCGGCGATCTTCAGTGGCGCCAGCCGTGCTTGGTTTTGTCCTTCGTAGTTCTTCGTCAGAGTCGGAGTTGCGCTGTTTGGTCGCAGGTGGATGAGTTTTGGCACGGATCTTCTCTCAGCTTCACCCGGCCTCTACAACGTTGATTGAGTCCATGATCGTCTGCAATGAAGTCGGAGTCGCTTCCTCAGGTTTAGGGATGGTGAGGTCGCCTCTAGGGGAGGAGTGATGACGATGACGCATGCGTGCTGTCTCGACGAGATCCTTTTTAGAGTGGTGTGTGTGTGTGTGTGGTATCTTATGTGTGCCGCTCATCGGTTGTGAAGGTTTCGCCCGGTTCTCCACAATTAACCGGGCAATCTGGTTTTCGCTCAGTTTTCCCTAATTAACTGAGCAACTCTCTTTTGCTTAATTAATCGATGAGGCAAAACTTTTGCCTCTGTTTCAAAAAAAAATGTACTATTGGGTCTGAAATATTGTTTCTCATCCTTTCTCGTCATTATATAGACAAGAAAGTATAGTAATTTTGGTCTATCCTTCCCATCCAAGTATGGAAATAAAGAAAAATGCATATAGATTTTAAAAGTGATGCGTTGGTCTTATCAAAAGCTGCTTATTTGTCTCATCTCTTGCTGAGAATTGCGGTGTTGAAAATATTAAGCAAGGATGTCCATATGCTACTAATCATACACCTCCTCTTCATACTTGCTTTCATTTTTTTATTGTGAAGTTGACTTTACAAATTCAAACCCATTTGAGAAATGTTAGCCTTTCCAATAATCGTTGATCACTTCTCTTTGCCAAAATGGGCGTACTTCCTACTTGCCCATTTGATCTATTTGTGAGGGAATCAATATGCTCATTGGACTCCATATTATTTGTTGTTTGCAGGTTCAGGATCGTGCCATTTTAGTCCGTCGTTCATCCAGTGGGCAGTTTTCCAACCAATGAGGTCGGATGTAGACTGGAAAAGAAGTACAAGGTTTTGTGACCTTATAAGGCATCTACCGGCGAGCCTATATATCTTTTCATATTCATATAAAGCACAACGCCCATATTGCTGATGAGCTTGGAAGCACTGCACCTTTTGTGTGCTCGCTTTGATATAACTAGCTTTCAAGCTTCCATGTAACACTGGCAAAATCGGTTCCTCTGGACTCATTACTTGTCAGGGGAAAATATATGTGATGCCTGTTTCACATGTTTAGCACAGGCACAATGATATTACCATGGAGGATAATCTCTGTGCCATCGATGTCCATTGCTTAAAAAAAATGTAAACTACTCCCTCCGTCCCAAAATAAGTATCCTTGATTCAGTACAAAGTTAATATAGAGTTGTAGTAAATCAGTGACACTTATTCTGAAAGTTGGAACGAAGGGAGTATATGACAAAACTGATTGTGATGCCTAGTGTGAGCCATAATGATCATTTTTCCCGTACATGAGTTGTCCCACATAATAATGTCGATGCAAGACGGCGTGCAGCAAAGCGCGCGTTTGCCTCTAGAATACTCGAACGCAACGTTTCTTGGCGCGCACGGTGCCTTCGTTGTCCGACATAATAATGTCGATGCAAGAAGGCGCAGCAAAACGCCTGTTTGCCTCTAATATACTCGAACGCGAGGAGAACAGGACCACAGAGGAGGCTGCACGAACCTTTGGCTTGCGGCGTCACTGTCAGCGTGTGAGGCACGCAAGCACGTTCGCAGCCGCAGCCGCAGCCGCCGTTGTCTTCTTCAGCGTGTGAGGCACGCACGCGCAGCCGCAGCCGCCATTCGAGGTCAATCCATCGATCTTTCCTTGTGCCTGCTACGAAAGACAGCAGATGAATCATATAGGAGTATGTCGCTTTAGCTGGCACTGTAGATAAGGTATGTATGATCGCACGAACGAGTGATCCATGAAAAAAAATTCTATGAGACTAGGTCTCACAGACCATCACGTGAGACCCTTCTCAACGGATGACACTTGGCATTCACAATCTCAAAGCACCAACTCCTACCTTGTCCATTAACTTCCAATCCCGACGGCTATTCCCGATTGCAGTTCCTACGTTTGAACAGGTACGTACAAAAGTACGACTTTACGTTCATGGTGGTCACGCGCCAAAGATGCCGATGCCGATTGCTGGGCATACTCCTTGTCGACGGCGGCTATGCTGAAAGATGACTCCTGGTTGACGGTGGTCACGCGTCAATACGTCCTCGCCGGACCAGACTAACTCCTCGACAGCAGCCGGGCACCAAGATGCACGCATTAGCTGGTCATCCACATGTTCCTTTCCAGCGCTCCAAGTGCGCCGGACAGCCGATGTCTGAACTCACCCTTCTGACATACATATAGTTGCTTCATTGGCAAAACAATTCAAGTGTAAACTGCCCTGGCTTCACCAAACTAAAAGATTGGTGTACTTTTCTCTTTAATCAATCGAGAGGGGGGGGAGACAGGCACTGGGGAGAGAGAGAGAGATGTTTAATTGGGTGACACATAGTCGTCTGCAAGTTAAGCAGTACACAAGGTATTGGCGTCAAATTTTCTCAGTGTACTGCTTAACTTGAACAGGCTTGTAAGACATGTGGTGCAGCTGATTTGATCAACAGGCTTGTGTACACATTGCATATGAATTCCTACGCTTGAACAGGATTGTAAGGCAAGTGGAATTCACGTATTCTGAACTAGTATGAATATTTTCATTTACTGTTTCTCTTGTGTATGATATCATAGTGTTCGCTATTTGCAACAAGCTCTTAGTACAATCATATGGTTTCAGAAGCAAGCATAAGAAAATACATACTCCCTCCGTCCGGAAATACTTGTCATCAAAATGAATAAAAGGACCTTTTATTCATTTTGATGACAAGTATTTCCGGACGGAGGTACTATATGTTCGGTATCACATAGGCCATAGCAGCTGGATGCATCTTGCCCCACGGTCGCCATTGCGCTCTATGGGCGACGAGATCGTTCGGCACGCCCATGGGCGAGAAGGCATCCTACCATCGTGCCGTACGGCCACCAGAGACGAGATCGTTGGGCGACCATGGATGGGGAGTCGTGGTAGCATGAAGCCACGCAGCCGCTAGCGACGAGTTCATTGGGCATGGCCATCGACGACAGGTCTTGGTCGCATGGTACTGTGCGGCAGCCGGCGACGAGGTCATCCGGCGCCGCCATGGATGAGAGCAGCATGTGAACCCTAGCTCGTGGGGTATGAGTTACGTAGGTATCTCTACAACAGGTTAATAAGGATACATATGTGATTGGTGTTAAAAGAAGGATACATAAGTGATTGGAATCGGGAATGGGCAAGTGGGCAATGTGGGATTACGTGCTTTGAGATCAACCTCGCCATGTGTCATCCATCGAGGAGGGTCTCACGGGATGGCCTATGAGACCTGGTCTCATAGAATTTTTTTTCCGTGATCCACCGATCGATCTTCATACAAATTCGTCCAACTTGGGCTAAAATTGGAAGTTTTTCCTTTCCCAGCCGCATGCATATTTCTGGAAGAAAATTCCCCATGTGATGTTTCTCTTTTTTCTCTTCTTTTTTGATGAGGAATGTGTGGGCATCTTTGCATTGACGGTACATCAAGTAGGTATGAAAACGGGGCGAAAACGGACAAAACTGAATGCTACCACATTTGCTTTCATATATTTTTGCAGAAGCGGAAATGAATACAGAAACCCCGAAAAGGAATATGGAAACATATACTATTGAAAACGGACACGGAGTGAATACAAAGCAGATAGGGAAACGGAAGTGGGTGTTGACTGGAACTTAAAAACCCCTTGAATCATAGAGAAATAGACACAAAAACAAACAAATTTAATGAATTATTAACATGGCTACAAAATAATATCATTATGTTAACAACTTAGCATAGTATTGTAATAGTATTGAACAATTGCATAGAGGGTCAAGCTGTGTGGTAGTAGAAGTTGGGCCTCAAATGATCCATTCTACTCATTGTTTCATTGTGTGTAGTTTCGTGTGGTTGGGCTAAAAAGCAGCCATAGGTCTATAGTCAAAACGAAAATTCCATATTCACGGAATCGGAACTTTTCGTTTCCATGCCTGTTTCACCGGAAAATATCGTTCCATTTTTGTTTCTTTTTCCTCATAAAAAATTTTCATTTCCACTTCCTTTTGCAAATTTCCGTTTCCATTTTCATATTTCCCCTTCATTTCCACTTTTCCTTCGGAAAGCAGAAAGTTTTCACCCCATTTTCATCCCTAACAGCAAGAGCAACAAATTTCTTCTTCTTTTGTGTGTAGAAAAAGAAAAAGAGACGTCACACAAAGGCTCGCCCACCAAAGGACATGCTACGTCGCCGTATAAGAGCATCTCTAGCAGACCCCTTAAAACTGC